GCCGCCTCCCCCGGCTGCGGCTGTGCCCAGCAGATGGCTCTTTCCAACCGCGTAAGGCTTATGCGAGCCCTCGCTTCGCTTCCCGGATCCCAAGGTCAGCGTTTTCAACTCCTTTGTTCCTCTTATGAATAATGCCGGTGGCATACTGGAAGGTCAGGAAAGCGTAAATGCGATGCAGAAAGCGTTGCTTTCCAGAGTGTAATAGCTTTAGCTGGGATGTAACACACTTCTGTTTAATGAATACTTGTCACAGTACTACACACATAAACAGAGTTATATTTATTGGACTAGAATCACATCTCAGTTCTGCTTGAGTAAATCTGAAATAGCTCAGCTGGAGCCAATGGAGATACTACAGATGGGAATGACAGGGGAATTTGGCCCATTTTTAGAATATCTTCATGTAGAAACAATGTAGGAAAATTGAACTATGACCAGGTTCCTTCATTATGGGCTAAACTGACTCTAAATTGAACCCTCTTAAGTCGGTGAAGTTACGCAGGTGTGAAGGAGAGAGCACACAGAAGCCAGCCTTGTTTGAACTGCTTGATCCAAAAGGAACCACTTTGCATCTTATTAATAAATGCAAGTTTATTTGCAATGAACATTATTTTTATATACATGTATCAAAACTAGAGATGGGCTTAGACCTCTAAGAGACCCACTTCAAAGCTCCTTGACTTATTGGAAAGTTCAGACTGAATCAGACTTTTGTGGTTCAATCATCATCTCTTTAATAGGCTTAAACTGGAATTACAAACCTGAATTAACCAAAACACGGAGAAACACTTCGTTCTGCAACATGTCCTAAAAGCAAGCCCGTTTTATAATCTGTCTGAATCTCAGAAGTTTAGATCCTATTACAGAACTGTACTTGATAACACTGACTTAAAGTTACTGATTTTAGAAAAGCTGTATTTTTCAGTGAAAAACCTTCAAAATGTGGAGATTTTTTACTTGAATTGGAAAAACTTTCCAAGATGGACAGATTTATTCTGACTCAGCGAACTTTAAGCCTAAAAGAGTGGAGCTTGACATGACTTCATAATGGTCCTTCTTTAAATTTGCTGCCATTTCTGCTGATAGTTCACATCAGCATTTGGAAGGATGAGCAAAACATGAAAGAAAAGGTATCCTAAAAATGTGTTTCAAAAAATTTCTTGAGGCATATATATCGGGGCAATGGGAAGGAATACCATTCCCTAATTGTTTCCCTCTACTCTGTTAATTTTGGGCTTATTCCTCTCTGACATTCAACCTAATCACAGTTCAGGTGCTCCTCACCTTCTAGATCTACTAAACCTTCCCTGCTTCTGAAAGTTACACCACTTCTTTACTTTCCCAGGATATGCCAGCTGGCACTAAGGGGGAAATACAAAAGCACGGGGTAACACTGACGCTGATTTGATATGTTCTACATTCAACTGGCTATTCAAAACCGATCAATTTTTTTTTCTTGTATTAACCATTTCACACTTTCCTTTGAAATGTAGGAGGCTTATGAATTGCAAGAGCTACACTGTAAGTGTGAGTTACTTGTGCTTTTACCCCTTCTGGGATGAAGTCGTCACCTGCATCAATAAACCTCCAGAGCTATTTTTGGTATGCTCCGCTGGGCTCGGTGCCTCCTGGGGCTTCCTCTGAACCTCACAGTGCTGCCTTCCATGGGCTCCATGGCAGCTCCAGGCAAAATGTGCTTAACAGTGCTGCCTGAGAAATATATTGTGCTCTGGGAACAGTAATCCAGCATAACTCATTTAATATTCTGAAACTATTTTTCTTGATTCTGCTGTGGTTTATCCAGGTATTTAAGATTTTCTGATCCACGATCTTGCTAGTAATTGATGCTTGGTAAGGACATAAACGTTGTCATGAGAAGAACTAAGCTGGTGATGACTTAGCTTGGGTCCTTCTTCCCTCTTTGATAACAAACATAGTTCTGGCACCCTTCCATTTCCAGAAAGCTGAGTAACAGAAGTTGCTGCCCTTCTCAGAAAGTCTGACAAGGAAAGGGGTTTGGTGGAGCTGTCAGAAATGGGGAAACTAAAGTGCGGCACACAGGTTGTTATTTACACACATGAACAAGTAGCCTGATGTAAAAAAAGAAAAACAAAAAAGGAAAAGAAAAAAAAAAAGCTATTTCTACTGCATGGTTGAAACTTTGGTCCTAATCATTTAGTTGGTGCAAAGCACGTGCCAAGGTTTCAGGCAGCAGAATTGCTCGGATCATTTCCTACCCGCTTTGCAGAGCGGCAATTAGCAGCACAGTGGCATTAACAAGACAGCTTTACACGAGCTTTCAAAGTAAAAACATAAAGAATCCCTAAAGGACCAACTACTTGTAAAATGTGAGAGGGAAGCTCTAGGCCCAATTTTTCGGAGGTGGGCGCAAGGCTTTGCCCGCAGGCAGGCGTGACCGTCGGAGCCAGCCGCCACCCGCCGGGATCCCCGTGCCTCCCTGGCTCTCCCAAGGAGGGGAAACCTCCTGTCTTCTGCACTCGACCTTTGTGTTGCCTTTCCTGCACGGGTTTGGATGCTGCGCGTCTCCGAGTGCCCTCTCATCCACATTTGCCGTAAACACCCAGAACACCTGTTTACTCTGACTCACCCACTCCTCACGCAGACTCTCCCTTTTTTTGACAGCAGACCTCACTCAGGTAGTATGTGCTGCTAATATCCTTTCAGGACCATGTAATAACATGCCTTCTATCCAATTCCTAACATCCTTCAATCAGCTCAGCCAGTGGGCTAACTGCTTATGCTCCTGTGATTTATATAAGTGCAATTAATTTAAACTGCATCACTCCCGTGTTATGCTGGTGAAAATGCCCCGAGAGGGAGTACCTCACTGGTGAATCAGACCCTTTGCTTTTAATAAACATACAAAAGAACAGATCCCGAGCCAGTGAAAATCTGCATGGCTCCATTCATTTCAACACACAAACTTAAACCAGCTCAAGGTCTGAATCACAGCTCATGTAACAGACTATTTAGATACAGACTAATGCCTCACATCCTGAAATGCAATGCTTTCCCAGAGTTGACAGGGGACGGGGACTTCTCAGATGGAACAGAACTGAGAGGGGAGCAGGGCCACAAATGCAACCTTTTAAAAATGCTCTGTGGATTTCTTCATTTCTGCGGAGTTGAGGAAAGCAACAGCCTGTGTCTCTGCAAGCACTGCTCTCCCTTCTGGGAAAAGCTGCGTCTGTTCCTTCACCCCAGCTGCGAAGCAGTACCTGGGAAGTCCCCTTCCTTGCCACTTTCCCTTTCCTCCCGTAGCCTGGGTGTGTTCCCTGCAGCTTGGAAATCCATGTGACACCTTTCACTGACAGACACCAGAGTTAGATGCTGAACAGCTGAATCTTTTTAATCAGTTCTTGCAAATGGCTAACTTTCTCTGCACTTGTTTTGGCATCCCCGAGATTAAGAAGTCACACAGCTTGACAAAGCACTTTACTTTTACGTGTCTTAACAGAACAGAAGGATTTTTTTTTTTTTTTTTTTTTTTTAACATCTATTCCAACACCTGCTGCAAAAAAGGGCTGGGGTGGTCTCTGTAAAACACCCCTCTGCGCCGCCTCCCGACAGGAAAGAGCCCTAGTGGCACACCGGCACGGCATACCGGTATGTGCCCAGGCAGGTGGAGTTAATACACAAGGAGGGGGGGGAAGGGGTGGGGAGGGCAGACCAAGAGTCAATCAGAGTGTAATTTGTGTTAGAAATTTACCAGCATTCAGCCGTCCATAATTTCAAGATGCAAATATTTTAAAATTAAAAAACCTATCTGTGACTAAACATCTCCTCTAAATCAGTCTAGATAACCAGAAAATTCTGTGGCACATTTAAGAGACTTTCATCCTAAATGAAATACATAATACAGATTATACCCTCATAGGAAATGAAGAGGTCCTAAATATACTAATGGAGAAGGATGTTTAAGAGACATTTAAATTACCCAGTCTATAATTTTGGGGGGGGTTGCTTATCTGTGCATCTTTTAACTGCTTTGGATAATTAGGAAAATTTCCTTGGCAGTGCTCTAAGAGGATAGGCAAGAGTGACATAACTACTCCCAAGGAAGGAAAGGTCGAGGATTTTGCATTCTGCAGATTTTTAAAGTAAAAAAGAAAGTATTCTTCATTTGAACAGTCTGAAGCAGTATGCATACTATATAAAACCTATCACGCTGCTGAAATGTCATCTTTTCCAGGGCTTCTCCCTCTCCTTGAACTCACTTGCAGTATCTCGCTGGCCCTTCTGCCTGGAAGGGCGCAGGTTGGGGAGGCAGGCTGCTCGTCTCCAGCCTTTCCTAAACGCAACTGTTCAAAGGCGGTTCCCAAACGGAGCAGGCACACGGTCAGTTCAAAAGCTTCCATTAGCTCTGCCGGCTAACTTGTTATCTTGTAACGCGCCCCCCCTCCCCCCCCTTCTGCCCTTAATGAACAGTTTGTTCCATTGTAATTCTTATATCAAACATCTGGAAACCAGACTCGTTTTAAAAAAGAAAAAAAAAAGACGTTTCAGTGCCTATGACTTATCCAAGCCACTGTCAGAAAGAAAAAAAGGATTCAGCTGAATCAGTAAACTGACCTTTTTTTAAAGCACTTTGACCAACACATTTTTCTAGACCGAAATTCTACAGGGCAACATACACCCACTCTGCAGCAGGACAGCGCGCTCTGACCACAGCTTGCTCCTCCGTTCACAGCTGTCTCCAGCGGGAGGAGCTGAAACCTGAACCAAACCCTCGGAGCGGGGATTGGATCCCTCCTGCCAGCAGCCGCAGAGCCCTCCCAGAAAAACAGCCTCTTTGCAAAAGTGCTTGAGAACATCCCGAAGTGATTGGAGGAGCGGAAAACCCTTCCCCCCTGCACCTGACTAGTGGGTATTTACAGCACTTTTCAAGGCGCCTCTGCACTGCCACTACACACAACCACAGTGGATGGACTGCGCGGGGCAGGCAACGCGATAGGGACCGATGCGCTCGCAGTGAGAGCCTGTGCGTGTGTGCTGCACACCCGCCGGGGACCGTTACACCCACCCACGAGGAGAGCCTGGAAGAAGGAGAAACCCTGCATCCAAAATGCCACGCTCCTTCCTGGTCAAGAAACATTTCAATTCATCCAAGAAGCCGAATTACAGCGAGCTGGACACTCATACAGGTAACAAAACGAGATCTAATGCCACCGCGTCGCTTCTGAGGTTGCGGTCATTGCGTGGCGGTAACGAGGAGGGGTGGGATTGCTTTTCAGGCTTGAGGGAACGGGTTAGTTCGCTGCTAGCTCTTTTTTCTTGTGCTTACAAGGAGGGAGTTTTGAGAAATATGTCAGTGCTGCCCAGAATGAATCATAAAGTTTGCTCACCCACTTGAACTCTGTTACTTAGAGAGGATTTGGAGTTTTCCTGTTCTGTATCTGCTAGTGGCGGAATTGAAACTTTTATACAAATCCTTCAGGAAGTTTCACTGCTTCATTGTATCAGGCTGCGCAGATTTAGAAACAGCATGCTGCCTTGAAGAGACTCTCCAGCTGTAATTTGTCTGTTCAAGGGCGCTGTCTCTACCCATCAGAATATATGTATGAAATAGGATTTCCTTAATCCTTCCTTATATTCAGATGACCACATTGAGTGTTTAATTTATGCACCTTTTAGCCTTCAAAATGTTAATTTTGCTGCCTTTTGAAATACTTTTTGGTTCTCTTACCTTAAAATTTCCTTCTTTCTCCAGTGATTATATCCCCATACCTGTATGAAAGCTATCCAGTCCCTATCATACCACAGCCAGAGATCCTGAGCTCAGTAGCTTACAACCCCATTACTGTGTGGACTACAACCGGGCTGCTACCGTCTCCGTTACCCAATGACCTCTCTCCGCTTTCTGGATACCCCTCATCTTTGGGAAGAGTCAGCCCACCGCCACCTTCTGACACCTCCTCCAAAGATCACAGCGGCTCAGAAAGTCCCATTAGCGATGAAGAAGAGAGAATCCAGTCCAAGCTTTCAGACCCCCATGCAATCGAAGCCGAAAAGTTTCAGTGCAGTTTATGCAACAAGACCTATTCAACTTTCTCTGGCTTGGCCAAACATAAGCAGCTGCACTGTGATGCCCAGTCTAGGAAATCGTTCAGCTGCAAGTACTGTGACAAGGAGTATGTCAGCCTGGGAGCGCTTAAGATGCACATCAGGACCCACACGCTACCTTGTGTCTGCAAGATCTGCGGCAAGGCTTTCTCTAGACCCTGGCTACTTCAAGGACACATTAGAACTCACACTGGTAAGAACAACCCTTACAATTGCAGTTTCTTGTTGCTATAACATCAGGATGCCCTTTTGCTATTTTTCTCCACAGGTGGAAGAAGCAGCAGTGTTTCTTTGCTAACCTTGAAATGCATACGCAGAATTTCAAATGTATCACCAAAAGGCTAAATTCTCCCCCCGGGGCGGGGGGGGGGAGGGGAGTGTAGCATGGTCTCATAACTGTGGGCCAGACACTGGCATAAATCAGCATTGCTCCCTTGGTAATTTTAGGACAGTTCAGCCCATTTCCACTAGCTGAAGGTTTTGCTTTGAGGATTTTATGTTAACTTTCAGGCTTTGGAAATTGCTAACTTTGAGAAGGCTCCAGCTGACCCTGAAATCAAGCAGCAAAACAGAAAGGCAATGCATGAGGGGCTGCTTTCTGACTCCTTAAGCAATTGGCAAGTTTTGCATGTGCTATTTCAAGTCCTTAAGAATCAGAAACACATCATCACCAAAGCAGTCTTTTTTTTCTGTTCAGGCAAAAACTTGATTTTGGGTATAACACGGGGAACAATGTCATGTCTGTGCTGCTGTTTGCTGCTTTTCAGTCAAAGCCCTTGTCCCCAGTAATTCACACAGCGCTAAGCAGGAAAAGTTCTATGAGAATGTTTGAAAATGTACGGAGGAGCCCAACCTAAAAGTACTGCCTGCACCTGTAGATGCAGAAGGTGTCAGCAGCTTGTCTTCAGAGACTGCACCTAGCAGTATATTCTGCAAAGACTGAGTTCTGCAAGTACAGCCAGCAGTGCTGAAAGCTGTTGTATCTGGGGCCTGATTAGCTTTTTATTACACATTCTTTATTTTAACAAATCCTTTCTGTTTGTTTGCTTGTTTCTTAGGATAAAAGAGGCTTCTACCTGTGCTAAACATGTAACTCTTTTTTAAAGCTTTATCCTATTTTTCCTTGGTGTTTCCTTTTTAGGAGAGAAGCCGTTTTCCTGTCCTCACTGCAACAGGGCTTTTGCAGATAGATCCAATCTGAGGGCTCATCTGCAGACCCACTCGGATGTGAAGAAATACCAGTGCAAAAATTGCTCCAAAACTTTCTCCAGAATGTCTCTTCTGCACAAACATGAGGAGTCTGGCTGCTGTGTAGCACACTGAGTCACGCAGTCAACGTTTACCTGGACTCAATGCATTTCTCCACTCCTGTTCCAAATGATAAGTGGAAATCCAAAGGCGTTTTCTCGTCTACTTTTCGGCCAAAAAAACCAAAACACCACCGAACAAGCAAACAAACAAAATAGTGGAAGAACTTAGAATGTCAGTAGAAATGAGCTTTAAGTAGTTTCTGTTCAGTCACACATTCGCGTTCTTACGTGTGAATTCTGAAATATGGGGAAAGACACCATGCATGACATTTCAAGTAGATCTAAAGGAAGAAGCATTATCAGTTTTCTTTATAGATGAAGCCAAATGTAGGTCGTCTTTTCTTGCTTAGAAAAGGCTACAAAGTTAACAGTACAATCCTGCCAAGCCATTTCAACCAAAGAAACAGTATTTTAAGTGGAACTTTTAATAAAAATACTACCCAAGTGAATTTTGCTAGACACCATTTATCTCAGGTGCCTTAAAAAGTATTCCAAGTTTACCTTAGTAAATGTTTAATGTTATTCATTGCTGTGTTTTTTATTTTATTTTATTAGAAGCCAAGGCCTTCATTAATGATCTGAAATGCTTAAAACTGCATAATTAAGAGAGGAAAAAAAACATGTGAGAGAATGTAGGAAAAATTGAAAGCCACAAATTAACCGCATGTGCCTTTTTTTAAAAAAAAAAAAAAAAAAGACTGTAGCTTCAAACATTCCTGGTGCATGCTTGACCATCTTTTAATATGGAATAGTTCCTCTAAACTTTAATCTTTTTTTAAAAACGGGAATAAGTGCAAGAGAGGGGGTTCATGGGATTTTGACAATTATTTTTTTTAAATGCACAAAGGAAATGCAATATTTTCAGCATTACCCCTCCAAGTGCCTTTTTTATTGATGATTTTGTAAAGTATGTGGACATAATGTAAATATTTTTATTTTTATATGATTGAATGTGTTATGAATGAAAGTGAATTGTTGCCTATAGCAGCATCTATAGATAACTTGAAGAAAGTGTGAAGTGAAATTTATGTTGTTTTCTAGCCACTTTTTTACAATAAACATTTTTAAGTAAGATTTCTGTTGTTTGTTCTAATTAAAGAAAACAACCATGTCTGGTTTATCAAGGCTTTGGAATACAGAAAAATGCAAGTGTCTCTACATGACCAAATGAAGATAAAAGTGAATTTCAGATGTGAATCCTTGGTTCACAAGTACTGAACATTAGAAAGGAATATACCCATTGCATTTTAAAACCATATAGAGCATTTTTCTAGAGCCACTGCTTTAAAACACTGCTGCTTTTTTGCTACTTACAACAGTATGACAACATTGTGAAATATATTTTATCAAAAACATTTAAAAACTTCTTGCTTGCATTTTAACAGTTGAGAGGATGCTATCAGAGCAGCCTTATTATAGTACTTCTCCTGGGACTCTGACGTTAGGAAATCTGGGCCTGATCCAAAGTTCATTAAAGTCAGTGGAGCCTTGCAGGAGTTCAGTAATGTTTGCATGGTGCTCTCTTAAAGTAGTGGTCAAGTCACAGTACGATACACGTTATACGGTCCTTTCGGAAAGATTAAAGATATTTTTATTAAAGTATCTTACAAATCAGAACTGTCAAGTGAATGTATTATGACTGTATATCAGCTACTATATCGACAGGAAAGAATTATCCAGTAATAAAAAGTAGCATTATTTTTCTTCAGATGATTTGACTAAGGACTCCAAGATCTGAACTAAAAGCATTACAACATCAACAAATCATGTCTCATCATTACCGACTAGTGCAAAACACTACTTTCAACTTTTAATAAAGCACAAAGCTCGAAACCAGATAAGCACTAGTTGGCGTCCAATCTAAAGAGGACTATGTTTACATTAGGGCACCAGCAGGAGCAAGTAATAGCAAAATCAAAATTCCAACAATTTAATGAGAAGATCACAGTTGGATAAACCCAAGGTGCAAATTTCTAGAAAAAGAGTACATTTCAGTAAAATAATGCAACAGACCACGCATGCCTTGTGTCTCCTCCAGCTGAGTCCTGCAGAGGAGTGCCTCAGCAGGACTGCGCTGCAGTAACTTAGGCAACAGGCGTATGATGGAAGTTTTGTACCTTTTCCCCACGGGAAGCACTGTACTAAAAAAGGATGAGCTCAAATGAAGCTTTTCATATTCTCCAAGCATCTTCTGACAAAATCGCAAGGTTATAACAACCATTCCCTAGGACCTGTTAGATTTTTTTTCAGGAAATAGCTGGAGAGTTCAAGAAAGATAGGGTTAGTGGGAATTTGTGAGGTAACATTTCGAAATGAACACATGAAGGCATCAAATACCCTTGAAAAGTTTCATGTGGTTACTCTATTGATTTGCACTTCCATGTCATTCGCTTTGAAGTTCTTAGGCTCCAGCAGCTTTTTGTGCAGCTTTCTCTTCCCAGAGCAAAGTTTACAGGTGTATGAGTAAAGCTCTGGCAGTCAACAGCTATTTGTACTGTCAAAGTTTTAGGTTTGCTCTCCTGTGTCATGTCACAAAGGCTTTTCCATTGTTTTAATTCACGGTTTAAATTCTCTACGCCCATAGTAAACGAAATAGCATAAGAACTTGACTTCTTGAATGTGTGGAAATGCTACTGTTGTCCTTAAGGGAAATCAGATGAAAACTTCATCAAAATACAGTATGCTAAACCAAACACAAGTGGAACTGGTCTGATTTGGAGATGACAATTAAGATATGCTACTTTGCATGCCTGTAACACCTGTACTCATAAAACACAAAGATGGGAAAGGCTAGAAGCTCTTCTGGCTCGTCTCTTTAATTGAAACAGAGTGCTCTATCACAGATTCCTAGCTCTCTGTCCAGTTGCAGCATAAGCTTCTCAGGCAGCTGAATTTCTCTTGCTTTTCCTGTGAGACTGCTTTCTATTTGCTGTCAGGACATTTCTCCAAAACATTTTCCTTTAATAGTTTTACCTCAGTACTCTAGAAATGCCCTTCTGTACCTGCACAAGTTATTTATCAATGTAAATTCAATTCTGTTCTGAGCTGCTGGTCGATGACTCCTGTGACTTTCTCAAAACGTCAGGGAAAAGCTCCCTCCATGGTGAATCTACCCATTGAATCTCTTTGGCCATTGCTACATTTCTCAGAAGACATGTCTGATTCTATATCCAAATAATCTAAAATCTTTCTTCAGAAAACATGCTCCCCGCACTCCAAATATCTTCATTGATCTTTTCCGAAATCAATCACTTTTTTACTTTTAATTTTTGACACCAGTGCTAAATGCAATTCTTTTAAGTGAAAAGTTAACCTACCAAAAGGCCATCCTCTCCTCAAAAGGCACCTGCATGATAGCAACCTATATACAACATATTTCATAGCTTTTTTTTAACTCTTCACTAATGAGTTGCTTAAAATCAGTAGATCTGGGGAAAGGACTTTTGCCCAGAGGTTACTCCAAATACTCTAAATATATACCTTTTTGGTTATATGATGCCCAATGTAGGGAATAAGAGCTAGATCCTTCGTTTAGTATGTTCTGGCAATTTACTTTCACCTCCTGAGTGTACTTTCAGTGTGTGGAGAAGAGCTGAATCACCACGGCACAAGTCGAATGTATGAGTTTCTCAAGGCTGAAGGCAATAATTGATTCACTTTGGTTTCCTCTTTTCTCTTCCCTTGCTTCCGTTTGGGCGTGCTTTTCATCTCAGAGGCTGCAGAATGAAGAAAGATGTGCACGAAATGAAGACAGAACAAAGTACACATTTATGCTCAAAGCACTGCAATTAGCCTACCATCTAACGTGGAGTTCAAAAAAGCATCTTATGCACTCACCAAAGGGTTAAAATAAGTGCCTCTCAGATTAAGGCACCATGAAATCTGTCTTCTGTATTTTACTCTATTATTTGGATTATTATAGTTCCTGTTATCATTAAGCAAGCTCAGGGCCTATTTACTCTAAGCTCCATAAAATCATATAAAAAAAAAGCACCCTAAAGATCCCATAATTTCAATTAAAAAAGGAAGGACAATGGGAAACCTGGTAATTTAATTCTGACGTCTTGTGCTACAGCTGATTTTCCCTGCCACAAAAACAAATCAGTATTTCATCTTAAAATGTATTTTTATTTTTAAATAAGACATTTTCAATGATGAACATTACTGCTTTGTAAATAATGGTTTTTACTAGCTGTCGCAGATGTTTGGTTTTGTCTCTTTAAACTAGGTGTTTTAACAGTTCAAATATATAAATTATAATTCAGGTTCACAGAAATAAAAAGAGCGGAATGTGAGAAGCACACTCCAACCTGCATATATTGTAGTATCAAATGACGGCTGCAAGAAATAAGAACAGGCCGTGCAAGTGAAATCACAGAGTCACAGAACAGTTGTGGCAGGAAGGCACCTCAGGAGATTGCCTAGACCAGCCCCTCTGCTCAAAGCAGGGTCAGTAGAATAGTTTACCCAAGACTGTCCAGTTGGGTTTTGAATATCTCCAAGAATGGAGACTCCACAACCTCTCTGGGCAACCTGTGCAGGTGCTCAGTCACCCTTACATTAAAAAAGGCTTTTCCTTACATTAAAATGGAATTTCCTGTATTTCAGGTGGTGTGCGCTGCCTCTTGTCCTGTCACTGGGCAACACTAAGAGTCTGGCTGTCTTCTTTACTCCCTCTCGTCAGGTATTTATGCACACTGGTAAGATCTCTCTTGAGTTTTTTCTTCTCAAGCTGTCTCAGTCCCTCCCATATGAGACGTGCTCCAATCTCGTAATTATCTTTGTGGTCCTTCATTGGACTCCAGTACTCTCATGTCCACATTCTACTGGTGGGCCCAGAACTGGACCCAGTACTGCAGATGGGCTTTGCCATTGCTGAATAGAGGTGGAAATACCACTCAGTTTCTGATGGGATGCTGGTAGGATGCATAAAGACTGTGGAAACCGTACGAGCCATAACAGTAGAGTACAAACAAAAATGATTCTTGCATGCTCTGTCCCTTCTTCCCAAAAATTTTAATTCATTCCAAATCTATACAATGTCATCAGGAACTTTGAAGGTTATGAAGGACGGGATTGTGCTTTCCTGGGAGAGAGTTGCCCTGTCCTGCTGCAGAGCA